CACATTCTGGGGACACCAGAGACTTATATTACATATTGTAAAAAGGGGCATAATATGTCTCCTTTAAAACGTGGTAATCCGGTTGATTTCAAAAGTGCACAGATATGTGTGTATAAAGCACATAATCTACTTTAGAGGCTGTTAGAAATGAAAGAGTCTATGAAATTAGGGAAACAAATATGTTTAAGGGCAAATATAAATAATAGATGTATATCCATCAAAGGAATGAAATCGTGGAATGGAATTGAGAATGTGTAGTTCACTTGGAAAATAAAAAAAATGTTTAAAATTGAGGTGATAAATATATAACTCAAAATTAATAATTTGTATATTGAATACTTGATATAGTTTAAGGTTATTATAGTTAGCCAAAACCATAAACAAAAAAAAAAAAGTCATTACTTGAAATAAAATAAATGTTAACTCAAATAAAATAAAATATATATTTATTTCAGTTAGTTGCAACATTTCTAATTTTCATTTAGTTTATCTTGATCTTAAAATAACTAAACCTAAAACTGAAATAGACATAAATAAAAACTATATATATATATATATATATATTTAAAGACAAAAAATAAATAATAAAAATTACAAAAACACACAACAAAATGAATAATTTGTATATTGAGTATTTAATGTAATTCAAGGTTATTATTGTTAACTAAAACTAAAACCATAAAATATTTTCATTACTTGACTGAAATAAAAAATATCAAACTGAAACTTATTTTATTTAAACTAGCTGACGAGGCAGCATTTCTCATTTCCATTTAGTTTACCTTCATGTACTAAAATAACTCAAATTAAACTGAAATAAAACTCAATATATACTACTATATAGACATTTAAAAACAACAAAAACTAATAAAAATGACAAAATTACTAAAACTTAAACTAAAATGAACATGAACGCAGAAAATATGAAACAAAATGTAATTAACAAAAACTGTAACTGTATCACAGTGATACTAAAATAACACTGAAAATGTATTTATTTATGAAAGCTGCATAAAGCTCTTTTGTCTGAAGTAATTGTTTAGTCTTTGTATCTTTTTTATAGAGTTGTGGAAGTGACACTTATTATATAAAAGGGGTAGATATAATAAGCTAACACATAATTAAAAATTATTTTCTTTTCCTGACTCAAATCTCCAAACCTCTCAGACCATATTTAACATAAATGGTTCAGACAGCATTATTTTCAGCTTTATATCTGGATTAGAGTAGTCATCTGTGAATATTTAGATTTTCTCAGGGGTTTTTCCACTGATTTTCTTGCATACATACAGACTTTTGCACGCAGACAAAGGTTTTCGTGCCCTCGAGAAACTATTCACATGCACACGGGAATATTTTGCGTGCTTACGTGTTACATTTTCTAGTTTTATATTCTATAACACATTTCCTTTGTGCGTCACTGCCATCTGAAGAAAACGAGAGCACGGATGTACATGAATGAACAGAGATATATTTGCTCAAAATGTGGCTTTCCTCAGGCTAGTACCTCTAAAATCAGCAGAGAAACATGACATGAAGTGGGCTGTGTGCATCGTCCTATTTGCCAAGTTCAATGGTCTATAAAAAGACTGGTACTGTAAAAAAAAAAAAGTGTTCAAAATTTGGCTTTCGTATCATATTTCAAAGCCTTAGTTCTGCTTTAACACACACTCTGTGGCAGCCAAAAAAACACGCTGTGAAATGGGCTGATGGTGGAATTGCTGGTTCAGTGTGCATGTCCTATATGCTAAGTTTAATGGTTTCTCGTGCACAAGAAAGTCTGTATATTTTTTAGTTTTGCAAAAATCCTTTTAATAATATTGTGTGCAATATAACCTGAATTTTTGCACTGAATTCATTCAGTGTTTGACAATCACTAAACAGCTGCCATGAAAACACACTTCTTGTATGATACATTTATTTTCATCAAATTTATAATTTTCTAATATAGAAAGCTAGATAGAGGCAAAAGTCTGGAAGTGCAAATATTTTTCCATACCGAGCCCACATCAGAGCACTCTCTCACCACACACTGAACGCCTGCTTTGGCTCTGCAGGTGATGCTGGTCGGCCGGCCGTAGCTGCAGTTGTGATGAAATGCGCAGATGATGCAGTCGGCCGGGAGTCTGGAGCACAGACCGCCGCTGGGACACTTGGACAGGTCGTTATCAGTCACCGCTGGAGCAGCTGAACACACACACACAAACACAGATACACCCACACAAACACAGATACGCACACACACATAGTCACACACAAACAAACACACACACACACACACAC